TAGAGCAGTTGGTAATAGAAACTAACAAAGAAGACCTCAGACGCTGCTTCAGTGGGTGTGACTTTACTATCAAAGAATTAGGGAAGGCTCCTGGAGAAAGGGATGAAACATTTGAATTGGGCAAAAGCACCCAACTAGCTTTCTGGATTCACTGTGAAACTCAAGAGCACAGCAGCAAAGCACATCATAGATCTACTGAGGATTAACTCTGTTCTTTCTGAAAATTGGTGTGTGGATAGTTTTAACCTACATCACATAGGGCTTCCCTGGTGGCTCAGGTGGTAAAGAATCCACGTGCAATGCAGGAGATCTAGGTTTGATCCCTGGGTCAAGAAGATCCCCTGGAGAAGGGAATGGCAACCGACCCCAGTATTCTTGCCTGGAGGATTCCATGGACAGAGGAGACTGGCCGGCTACAGTCCACAGGGGTTGCAGAGTTGGACATGACTGAGCGACTAGCACTTTTGCTTTCGTAAAGTGTCAAATAGACTTGTTTTTTTCCTTTGTTAGTTTAGTTTTCCCAGATAAAGTTTAAGTCAAACCTCATTTTCAGACTCTTGACTATAAAAATTTTAGCTCATATTAGAAAATCTAAAACATGAATGACAATAGAGGTAATTGTGTAATAAACTCCCTTGTATCCATTATCCAGCTTGAACAGTTAAGTCCCCTACATACAAACCTTCAAGTTGCAAACGTTCACATGTGTATTCCATCAATAAGTCCCTTACATACAAACCTCCAAGTTGCAAACGTTCACATGTGGTATTCCATCAATAAGTCCCTTACATACAAACCTTCAAGTTGCAAACGTCCACATGTGTATTCCATCAATAAGTCCCTTAAATACAGACCTCCAAGTTGCAAACGTCCACATGAGTATTCCATCAATAAGTCCCTTACATACAAACCTCCAAGTTGCAAATGTCCACATGTGTATTCCATCAATAAGTCCCTTAAATACAAACCTCCAAGTTGCAAACATCCACATGTGTATTCCATCAATGTCAGGCGTGAGTGAAACTGCATCTCACCCTCCGTCTCCTACTGCTGATGACCCTTCCGCTCTGCCATCTCCCACCTCCTCTCCCTCCTCCAGTCCGTAACTCTTCTTGCCTTTCCCTCGATGTCAGCTCCTGTGTGCCAGCTCCTGTACTCTACTACTGTACTTCAAGGTACTGTACTGCCAGGTTAAAAAATGTTTTCCTTGTTTGTTTTTTATGTATTTGTGTGAAAAGTATTATAAACCTTTTACAGGACAGTACTGTATAGCTGAACGTGTTAGTTGGGTACCTAGGTTAACTTTGTTGAATTTATGAACAGATTAGACTTATGAACATGCTCTTGGAATGGAACACTTGTAGAGGACTTAACTATATACATATAATACACCCACTCTACCCTCCTCATCCCCAACTCTGTATCCTCTTGCCAACAAAAAATTAATCAGTTGCTCTAGGAAAGAAGCAGGAAATTTTACTTGAGCCAAATACATGTATATATTTGTATGTGCATATATATATAATACATATAATATATATATATATATATATATATATATATATGCACTTCTGTGCTCAGTCGTGTCTGACTCTTTGTGACCCCATGGACTGTAGCCTGCCAGGCTCCTCCGTCCAAGGGATTCGCCAGGCAGGAATACTGGAATGGGTTGCCATTTCCTTCTCCAGGAGATCTTCTCGACCCAGGGATCAAACCCACGTCTCCCGTGTCTCCTGTATTGGCAGGTGGATTTTTTTTACCACTGCACCACCAGGGAGTATAGAACATGTAAATCATATCTGTACAGCTTGTGAATTTCCACCAATTTAAAATTCTATTTATTAATCATACAAACCAAGAGACGCAATGTCACCAGCACCCCAGAGGCACACTGGGGCCCACTTCTGGTCACTTTCCTCCCAAAGGAATGACCGTCCTGACCTTTAACACTGCACACAAGGGCCACACAGCCAACCTTGTCCCCTCCCAGCCCACTCCACCCTCCTCTGCCCAACTCTGTATCCTCTTGCCAGCAAAAAATTAATCAGCTGACCTACAAAAGAAATGGAAATTTTTACTTGAGCCAAATTGAGCATTCTAACCCAGGAAGAGCCTCTCAGAAAGCTCTGAGAACTGTTCCACCCATTAGAGTGTGGAGTTTTTGGAGACAGAGGGCTGAGCATTGGATGACATATGATTGGCAGTTTACACAGTCCAGATCTGTAAGTACAAAGTGATGGATCATCGCGACCCCCTACAATATGGAGGAGGAATGTTTTCTTTAAGGAGTTATCTTGGTGGTGCTGGGAGAAGGTTGCTCTTTGCGGTTAAACAGGTATTCCTGCTGATGGGGGAGTCTTGCCTGATGCATAATGCAGATACAAAATGCACAATGTTGGGGAGAGAGTGGGCCAAAGGGCAGAGAAAATTCTTTCATGTTAAAATTTTTCTTGTCTTGCCATAAAAATGAATTTTATTTCATGCTACCATTTCCTCTGATAATATTTCAGTATGTAAGTCTAAAACACAGAGACCTAAAATATAACCATGATGCCGTAATAACATTTTAAAGCTTAACCATAATAACTGAATGTCAGCAAATATCCTGAACATGTACATTTCCTTGTTTGTCTCATATGTGTGTGTACTCATTTGTATCTGACTCTTTGCAGCCCTATGGACTGTAACCCGCCAGGCTCCTCTGTCCATAGAATTTTCAGGCAACATACTGGAGTGGGTTACCATTACCTCCTCCAGGGGATCTTCCCGACCCAGGGATCAAACCCAAGTCTCTGGTGTCTCCTGCTTTGGCAGGAGAATTCTTTACCATTGTGCAATCAGGGAAGTCCTGGTTTGCTTCAAAGACTTAAGATTTTGGAGGTTGCTTGAATTATGATCTAAATAAGATCCATAGGGGTTCTGAAATGTTTTTTTAATCTGTAGGTTCCCCTTCTCCCTTTCCCAGTTCCCACCACTTTCCCCTTCTCTTTTTCTCTCTTCCTCACTGAAATATTATTTTATTTTTTTGGTTGTTGAACTGGATATTTATCCTGCAGAACTGCCCATGGTTTGATCTTCATCACTGCATGCTGTGGTGGTGTTTATTACATCTTTCTGTCTTATTTTTATTCTGTAACTTGGTATTTACTGGGTTTGACCCAATTCAATTTTGGTATTTTGGCAAGAATCCTTCATAGGTGGAGTGGAGTTCTTCTAGACACATAAGGCTTGTTGTCTCTTGGTTGTGATATTTGCAGCCATAGATCATCATTGTTTAGACCCACTGTCATTATGGGTTTTTAAAATGGCAATATTCTATTATTTATTTTTCATTTATTAGACATAATACTTCTAAAAAGAGAAAATTACCCTCATCAATAATTTGATTACCTAGCGGGTCAGTTTATATAGGAAATGCAGAATAAATGCTCAATTTTTACCTTTTTATTTATAGCTAAATAAAAATGAGTTGGTGCCCTAGTATCTTTGAGAGGTGACTTTCAATTCCTGGGTTGGGAAGATCTCCTGCATAAGGGAACACGTTCCAGTATTACTGCCTAGAGAATTCCATAGACAGAGGAGCCTGGTGGGCTGCAGTCCATGGGATCTCAAAGCGTTGGATACAACTGAGTGACTAACATTTGCACTTTCACTTTTCATGAACTCTTATCATGCTTTGAAACATTAAAAAAAAAAGTGTAAACCTACTTAAAATTAAAATTTTTTTTTTCTGATGTTGGGGGTCAAAAAGGGAGAGGGCACCAACCCACAATATGTCTTGCCAACCTCCTGAAGACCCTGGTACTGGAATCCATCTTGCCTAAAAGATGCGCACACACATCAGGAAGGACTCTGGGTCAGATCCGATGTGGGCAGCGAGCAAGATGATTGGCCAGAGGAACCTAGAGAACTGCCCCTATAGAAACAATACAAGCCATCCTAAAAGGACGACTCCCTCTAAGCCCACTCATCCACATGTACTTTCTCTTAATAAACACTTAACCTGTTATACTACCCAGTCTCTTAGCTGAATTTTTAAAAACTTTTATTTTAGATTGGAGTAGAGATGATTAACCATGTTTTAGGTGTATAGCAAAGTGATTCAGTTATACATATACATGCATCTATTCTTTTCCAATTATTTTTCTTTTTCAAATTATTTAGGTTCTTACATAATATTGAGCAGAGTTCCCTGTGCTACACAGTAAGTCCTTATTTTAAATATAGCAGTGCGTACGTGTCCATCCCCAAATCCTGATCTGTCTCTTCTCCCCCATCCTTCCCTCAGGTAATTGTAAGTTTGTTCTCTAAGTCTGTGAGTCTATTTCTGTTTGTAAACAAGCCAAGGGATCTTTGTTGAATTTTTTTCTCCAAAGAAGACAAGGACCAGGGAGGGACTTACACCACACCCAAACGCCCTCATCATCTAGTGGCTAGGATGTGGCACTCTAATTGCCACCGTTTGGGCTTGATTCCAGGACAGGGAACTGAGATCCGGATTTGAGCTGCTGTACCCCAAGCCCCACCCACCAATCAGAACTAGCTTGCAAGCCAGTGCAGCTGGAAGGCTTTGAATGGGTGTTTCCGATTCTCTGTCAGTCTCAAGATTTGAATCTCAAAGGTGGGCTTCACATGCCTTCCCTGGAAGGAGACCATCCCCTGCCAGAGAAAGTGATGGGGAAATGTTTGTACAAGAGAGTCTTCATTGAGATTTCATTTTAAAAAAGACTATGATTTACTGAGCATGGACAATGTGCTTTTATCTCATTACCCACTTATCTCTGGATATCACCTGGGTTTGATCCCTGGTCGAGAAAATCCTCTGGAGAAGGGAATGGCAATCCACTCCAGTGTTCTTGACTGGAGAATCCCATGGATAGAGGAGGCTTGCAGGCTACAGTCCAGGGGGTCACAAAGAGTCAGACACGACTGAGTAACTAACACACACCCACTTATCTCAGAAACAGTGTGATGATATGAACTCAGATCTCTTTTTATAGGAGAAGAAAATGAGGTTAGCAAAGCCAGAAACTCGTCGGGACCACTTGGCTTGTCAGAAGCCTACAGGGCCTCTCATCTGTCTGCGTGTCTTCTAGGCAAAGTGGGTTCATGTCCCCCTGTTCACAGCCCTCTGTGCTGGGCTTTCTGGGGCACAGAGCCCTGCCTGCTCCACAAGACACCTGCGACACCCTTGCAGGACCGACCCCCACGTTTCAGGCTTCCTCTTGGCATGATACCCCTCTCCCCCCCCCCACCCCCCCAAGAAGGAAGGCCTTCTCGGATCTGCTACGTAAAATGGCAGCCCCCACTTCCTTGTCCTGCCCGCTTTCCTGGTTTTGCATTAGTGCTTTCTTCTATATAAATAATTTGCATATTTATTGTGTTTGATGCTTGCCTGTCTCCCCATTAGAATTTATGCTCCACGGGAGCAGGGATTTCGGTCTATTTTGTCCACTGCTATGTCTCTGTGTAGAATAGTCCCTCAGACTGCATTGACTCTCCGCAGAGCTGTGTACCCAGGGCTCCGGGTTGTCTGCTGCCTGTGTGGGTTGGAGATGGGTCTGACCTGCAGGCAGACTCCGCATCAGCATTTTATCACGGTGATGCCGTCGAGGCCCCATTGATCTGCATTTCCCCATTCCTACCAGGAGGTGGCAGTGTGCTGACTCGGCCAGAGACGGCTCTGTTGACGTTTCCCTGATGCAACAGCTGCTTGGTGCATCTGGCCCAGGACTGCCCTCACTGCTAGGGAGAGAGAATTCTCTGTCAATCTAGGCCTGAAAGACCTGTCATAAAACCAAATGAAAAGCCCTTCTCTATTTATCCTGCTGAAGTCAGAACAAATCGTTAATAACACCTAAACATAGATCATGGGACCTGGTCAAGTCTACATTGAAATTACCTGCAAGAAATTCTTGGGGGGCACTTTCATTTATCTTGGGATGTTTCTTCATTGTGATTGTTTAAATATCTCCCTTCCCCCACCTTCCCAAACGCCTCTATGCCAGTTGTTTACTGGGCTAAAGTGAACAACTATTTCTTATGTGCCAGACAATTTGGGAGAAAATAGAGATTTTCTTTTGGGAAAATGTTCTTTGTTAGAAATTAAAAAACAGAAAAATAAGAACACAGTTCATGTAGCTTTCAACAAGAGTAAATATTCTGATGCTGCTGCTGCTGCTAAGTCACTTCAGTCGTGTCTGATTCTGATGCTAGGCATGTTTAATAATCATGCAAAAATATTACAGATTAAAGAGCAAGACAATTTAATAAACATTTCTTGGGCACCTCCTGTGTGTCTGGCACTATGTTCAGTTCAGGGAAATAAAATATGAATCAAAAAAGGTCATTGCTTCCAAGGAACCCAACCCCTACTGAGAGTCAAAGATATTTGTACAATAAATTATGATACAAGCAGAATAAAATATATGATAAAAAAAAACTGAAAGTGTTCATAGAATATTCACCAATATTTTTTCTTTTCTTCCCGTGCAGTTATGTCTGACTCTTTGTGACCCCATGGACTATACAGTCCATGGAATTCTTCAGGCCAGAATACTGGAGTGGGTAGACTTTCCCTTCTCTAGGGGATCTTCCAGACCAAGGAATTGAAAGTCACCTCTCAAAGATACTAGGGGACCAACTCATTTTTATTTCGCTGTAAATAACAAGGTAAAAATTGAGCATTTATTTTGTATTTTCTATAAACCAATTGAGCTATGAGGGAAGCTTGTTCACCATGATAGACTATACATATTCTGAGTCATACAAACACTTCATTTCAGGTGAAAGAACAAACTTGGATCTGTTACAACTGATTGCTATAAGAAGAACTAGTTCCTCACTGATATCAAAAGATGTTATGTCATTAAAAACTTTTGTATGAATACAGTGATAAAATTAAAAACAGAAAAATTAGGATCTGAAAGAAAGTACTTAAGGATTCCAAGGCTAAAGTGTATGTGTGTTTTGTGAGTCAATCAACTTCCAAAGAAGTCCATCAATAATAGATAGATGATGCTTTTGCTGATGTTTTGATGATGATATTTATGTAAATCTACAGTTATATATGTGGATTTAATAAAGTTTTATTAACAAATATTGATTAAAAATAAAGTTGATACCAGCAATGTTGCATGGGAATATAGAAGCTAGAAGAAATAATTTTGGTCAGGGAAATCAGAGAAAACTTCCTGGAAGAGGTGGGTTTTACACCATCCCTTGAAAGATGAGCTGGACTTTGGTAGATTGAGAATGGGAAAGAAGTGTATTCCAAGCTAAGACACAGGCATAACCAGAAGCCCAGAAGTGTGATCATTTTGTGATCTTGTGTACTTGGAGTGTGGGGCTGGGGTTGAATGTGGATGGTGTGGATCTAGGAATGTCCAATTCCATTTTGCAGAAAAAGTGCCTTGTGGCAGCAGATCAATAATTGCTTATTGAGGGAAAACAGGCAGGAAGGCAGAAAAGGAAGAAAGAACAAAAGGAAAAAAAGGTCAAGATCTGGCATAGATGTTTACTGTGGGTTATGAGAACCAAGAAGTAAACCAGAACGTGCGACAGTAGTGGCCCCCTTTCTACCTCCCCAGTTCTTCCCATTTAAACAAAAATTCTTTCTTTCTTTATTTTTGGCTGTGCTGTGTCTTTGTTGCTGCCCAGGCTTTTCTCTAGTTGTGGCAAGTGGGGTTACTCTCTAGTTGCTGTGTGTGGGTTTCTCCTCATTGCGGTGGTTTCTCTTATTTTGGAGCATGGGCTCTAGGGCGTGGGGGCTTCAGTAGTTGTGGCACATAAGGTTAGTTGCCCTGCAGCATGTGAAATCTTCCTGGGAGAGGACTCAAACCTGTGTCCCCTGCATTGGCAGACAGAGTCTTAACCACTGGACCACCAGGGAAGTCCTCCCTTCTTATTCCAGTTTTATTGGAAGAATAAAATGGAAATAGCAAAATATTATCCCTTCTTCTTCTACCCCTTGACTGTCTGGAAAGAGTATTTATTAACTAAAGCTACAGTAAATGTTCTGTTGTTTGGATGTACAGTTTATCTCTCCATTCACCTACTAGAGGGTATCTTGATTTCTTTCAAGTTTTGAAAACTTTGAATAAAAGTAGTATAAACATTCAAGTGCAGGTTTTTGTGTGGACATAAAAATTCAGCCCCTCCGGGTAAATACCAAGGAGTTTGATTGCTGGATTGTATTGTAAGAGTATGTTAAGCTTTGTAAGAAACTGCCAACTGACTTCTGAAGTGTCTATACTATTTTGCATTTTCACCAGCAATGAATGATAGTTCCTGTTGCTCTGCGTCCTCACCAACACGTCAGCATTTTGAATTTTGGCCATTCTAATAAGTGTGTAGTGGTATTTCATTATTGTTTTAATTTGCAATTCCCTGATGACAGAGGGTGTTGAACAATTTTTCATATACTTATTTGCCATTTATCTGTCTTTGGTAAGCTATATGTTCAAGTCTTTTATCCTTTTTAAAATTGAGGGTTTTTTTTTAATTGTCGACTTTTAAGAATTCTGTATATATTTTGGATAATAGTCCTTTATCAGAGATGTCTTTTACAAATACATTATCCCAGTCTATAGATCATCTTCTTTTTCTCTTGACAGTGTTTTTCTCAGAGCAGTTTTTAATTTTAATGAGGTCCTGCTAACCAATTATTTATTTCATGGATTGGACTTTTGGTGTTGTATCTAAAAAATCATCAGCTTACCCAAAGTTATTTAGATTTTCTTCTACTTTTATAATTTTGCATTTTAAATATAGATCTGTGCATAGAGAACAGACCTGTGGTTGCCAAGGGGGAGGGGGTGATGGATTGGGAGTTTGGGGTAAGCAGATGCAAACTATTATATAGAGAATGGATAGCAGCAAGTTTCTACTGTATAGCCTAGGGAATTATATTCATTACCCCATGATAAATCATACTGGAGAATAATATGAAAATGAATGTATATCTATGTATAATTGAGTCACTTTGCTATACAATAGAAATTAACACAAAGTTGTAAATCAACTGTACTTCAATAAAAAATAAAGAGGTTTATGATCCATTTGAATTAATTTTTATGAAGAATGTGAGGGTGTGACAGAGATCTAGATTCACATTTTTGCACTTGAATGTCCAATTTTTCTAGCAACATTTGTTGAAAAGATCATGTTTGTCTGATTAAACTGCTCAATACATTAATGTGGGTCTATTTCTGGGCTCTCAGTTCTGTTCCACTGATTTATTTATCTGTTCTTTCACCAAACTATTCTGCCTTGATTATTGTAGCTTTATACTATGTCTTGAATTCAAGTAGTTAACCATCCTTCAACTTTGTTCTCTTTCAGTATTTGGTTTGCCATAGAAACTGATTTTTATATATCAATCTTACATCTTTCGACTTTGCTGTAACTCTTTGTTAGTCTCAGGAATTTGTTGTTGTTGTTGATTCCTTTGGAATCCATAGACAATCCTGTCATCTACAAAGACTGTTGTTTTCCTTTCCTGTCCAGTCCATACACCTTTTGTTTCTCTTTCTTGTCTTATTGCACTGGCCAGAATTCTAGTATGATGTTGAAAAGGAGTGATGACAGGGGATACCATTTCCTTGTCTCTGGTGGAGCCATTTTTAAGATTTCATTTTTATACTGTTCATTGCAAGTATATAGAAATACACTTGATTTTTCTATACTGATCTTGTATCCTGACCACTCCATATGCAGTCTTCACATTTATCATTTTAATGGTTGCACACAATTTCATCAAGTAATACCCTATAATTTCCTTAATCTTCTCAACTGGTTAGATTTGTATGCTGTGTAAGTTCTTCATGTTTATAAATACTCCTTCTGGAAATAATTTTGCACCTTCAACTATTTTCTTTGTAATTATTTCTTTAGACTAAAGGGTTGAAGGGAATGGATGTTTTGTATGGTTCAATATTTTTATCGCCAAATTGGCCTCCAATGGAGTGTTGAAGCCTGAAGCTGATGCATTCATGTCCTTATTACCTACAGCTCATCTAGCATCTCATGACAGCTTATCCGGTCTACCATAGTACATTTGTTTTGTGAGGTCATTGAAATACGAATAAGTTAGAAG